GCCGTAACATCGCACAGCGAGACCATCTAAGAACTCAAACACTTCAGTTGAAGCTTCGTAACTCTGCAGAACGCAAAGCCTTGCTAAAGCAGACTCTCTCTCGGAAGAACCTGAGGCTCCTCTGTAACCCGGCAACCAACCAATCCAAGAGGGCTTCCCCAAAAGGACGTCATCCAAACGTCATTCCGGCGCCAGATCAACAGCCAATCAGCAACGGAATCCCCTCCAGTAGCCACGAGGAACAACTCAGCTTTTCAGATTTCAGCAAAACGCAAGTAACGAACAAAATCTCCTATCTGCTGAACTGACGCTGATGATTGACTTAAGCAGTAAACGTAAGACAAATCTCTGCTTTGTGAATTCTCTCAGGCTGAATTTAAAACCACTCGTGAAAACGAGTTAGAACTTTGAAACTTCATGCAACTCCGTTAACTCACTTCTGAACTGTATATGTGTGTGTGTGTGTGTATTTTAGCTTAGCTTTAATGTAATCTAGAATAGCCAATAAATTCGTTTTCATTTATAAAGAATCATTGTCTGGTGTCGTATAATTTTAAAGTCAAACCCTTGCCAAAGATCACGTTACCTCTCTAAGAGCTTACAAATTATCATAATTGTATTGACCTGTGGCCAGGGAAAATACCCATAATCAGATGGTTAAGATACATGAACATTAACGGCTCGCTGGACGACCGTTGATAAGGTGTAAACCATTAAAATTTGAAATCAGTTCTAATCAGGTGGACTTCGAATTTTCAGATTCGAGTCCTTTCAAAACCTGAATGAATTAATAATAATTAATTCCCTAAAATTAAGTAATCAAGACATTACATTTATGTGCTGTGGAAATTCAGTTTCATGATTTCAGTAGCAATAATTATCAGCTACTGACTTTGTGACAGCTGAAAAGGCAGGAATTTGTATATGTCATCATTGCTGATGCAGATATTTTTACAGGATATGTAGCGTGGGATCCATGAACAATCTCTTCGAGTTTAATTTTAATTACTGTAGAGAAAAGTCTTTATGATGGTGATCATGTGGCAATGTATTCCAAAGTGCCATATGTTCGGGAACACCGTGTGAAGAGAAGATGTATAGTTTAAATTAACTTTAAGGTACACTCTTGGTTGCACTTCATATGTTATAGCTGCATGTGAAAGTTTTAATGTACTTGCATGTCTTTACACATGGGATTGCTTGGAGTTGCAGTAGTGAAGAGATGAGTGCGACCTTCTGCAAATCACATCAGGCTCCAAGCTAGCGTCCTATCAGTGTCTTATATACCTGACAGGCTCAGCTGAAAGTGGTTGTCATGCTCAGGAATGGACAGAAGTGACCTGGCTCAGGGCCACCGCCACCATGTTCCTCATCTCTCTGTTGGCTCTCCACAGCACTGCACACTGACCCTCAGCAGGCCGGCCCTCTATGCCACTTTCCTGCTTCTGACTTCTATTTCCTGCCAATTATCTGGATCACCAACATGGCTGTTGTGGAGTAATGACTGTGCTTCATTTTCTGTTACGTTAGTGAGCCACCATGGCGTGGCTTATGTGTGTTACTTTAATGGCTTCTCATGGCCATGGAGGACAAATAGAAGACATTACTGGTAGTGTCTCATTAAATGAGCATGAAATTGAAAGCTGCTTCCCATCTTGACAGAGTTTGTGCTGAGCTTTTATCTCCGATGACGTGGTTTGAATTTCACTTTGATAATACAAAAGGATAAAATGATTCCTGAGTCTCTTTTATGGAGTTTGTATGTTCACTCAATCTGATTTTCAGAAGTGTCACAATTGTGCAGAAAAAGACAAAATACAAAGATAAACGAGTACTTTCCTGGATGTTTCATAATATTCCCAATGCTGGAATTCTACAAAAATATCAAGTCACCCATTATGATTTTAAAGTTTAGAATAGATGATAGCGGAACATGGTCTGGCTTGGTTATGTCTTATTGTTTGTTAATTTTGCGTATTTGCGTTTTTTGCTGGAGAGTGTTCTCTAAGCAAGAAGTTCAGGGCTTGTTCATACTTTTTTGGGCAAGTTTGTGTCGAAAAAATACTCTTTATTATTTAATATTATTATATTTTTGCCAGTGGTTATTATACAGCTATAATTCTTTAAAAGCTATACGCACAGATGGTGTATGAACAAAGCATTATTGATAGTTTTCAGTAATTTTTTTCAGTTATTTTCTACATATTCTTACTGATACCGAGTTATTCTTGCAATTTTAAAGATGAGATAACTTTACCTTAGTGACATATTTAAATCTGCAGCATTTTAAAACATTTAAATTTGCAACCTGGTCCCCCACCAGAGATAATCATCCCAATAGTGCTTTCTGGTCCCCATTTAAAAAAAAAAATTAAGAGAAATCTCAACCCTGAAATGTTCTGCACTATACTTACTTGTAACCCCTGAAATGTAGGACTTAATGCGTCTCTTCATCACACTTCTCATTATAAACTAACCCTAAAAGTGTAACTTGATCATTATAATTGAACCTAAGCTCTAAATCTAAAGCCTTCTACACACTGCACGATTTTAGCAATCCTATAAGATCATTGCATATCACACTGTGCGACATGGACCTGATAAACTCTGGTACAACAGGCATGCAGACTGTACGATGATGACACCTATTAACTCGTAGGATACGATGCACGTTACTATAGAAGAATAAAACGTCATCAGCATGCGCTAGTGGTAAACAAATAGGTGATATGACCAAAATCTTATTTCACGGCATGAGAAATTTAATTTCACGGTAACGATATATACCTCGATATAGCTATTTCTATTTTATTTTTGCTATTAAAATTAAGAAAAAGAAGCAAATTACAAGCACAACAGAACAAATAAATATGAAATAAACGTTTAATTTATTCGGCTACAGTAGGCTAGGTTTATTTAACGTAGTAAGAAATATTGCAGAAATTCAATAGTGTATAAATAAAACAGTCTGCATAGTCTTCACTGTATCAGTCAAACATGATTAACATTAATAATGACAGACAGCAGCAGGTAAATAAGGCTGCTGTCCCTTTAAGACC